CGTACAGTATGGGTGAGTTTCTGCTGCCTTGATGCAAGTTTGTTTTTTTTCCGAGCTCGGATCGGGATTTCCAAGAGTCCAAATACCATAGTATGAGTACAGACGCCATCATCCGGTCGCCCTCGGGTTCTCTCTTCCTTCGCGATTAAAGTGCCCTTTGATTGAGTGCGTGATTTTCATGTACTGGCATGGGTACTTCACGCCAAGATACTGGCATTGTTCCCCCGAAAACAAGAAATTGAATTTCCCAACAACGAAATCGATTCTCCTGCGGGGACGAAGTTGGAGGTTCGAACTCCGAAGGTGTCTCGATGAAACTGAAAGTTTTATCAGTATTGATGAGCTTGTAGAAGTAGCTGAGCTACAGAGACCTAGGGGAGTAATTCAAGAAATTAGTCACTCATTCAGGGCCGGTATTCGGATGATCCGAATCGGATCCTGATCCACAGATCAAACACATTATCCAGATCACTCGTTGATCTTGACGTCTGAGCTAAATCTTTCGTGATCCGAGATGCGAGATCTGTGAGGCTTGATCTTGATCCGTGGTCTTTGATCCTGATCCTTGACCGTTGAACTTGATCCCTGAACATTGATACTGATCCGTGATCTGGATCTCGCGTGATCCTCATTTTCTTCTGAGTAGCTTCTGAGATTCATGAATTCGTACGTAGCCTCCGTAGTACAGAATCCGTACTATGTACGAGGCACATTCGAAGAATGGAATTAGACAACTGGATGGCCGTTCGTAAAACCCATTTTAAGGCTTGGGTGACGCTCTTTGTTGGTTTCCGAAACCAACAAAGAGCGAATCGCTTCTGCGCAATCCTTGATCGTGCGTCTGACTAGTTGTTACGTGATCGGATCACTCATGATATACCAACTCCTCTGCTGATCCATGACCTACGATCCCGATCCAAAACTGACAGGATCATGGGTGATGTGATCTGCGGATTACGAGAATGATCCATGATCCTGTCCCATGATCTCAATTTCTTGATCCGAGCAAAAAGATCCAATTCATGTCGTAAAATCGTCACATTGATCTTACGACGTGCTTTTTTTCTCAGGATCACGCGTGGATCAGGATCCGCATACCGAGGTGCTTGCGTGTACAATTTTACGCAAGCAATTCAAAATGTGCTTGTGTGCTTCCTGAGATCTATAGCTAATGATGATGGTAGTTCGCCCAGGAAGGCACGTTACCCTTCCCTCTCCTCTTGA